TGCGACTATCTCACACGTGACACGACACTCATTACGGTGAACGAGGCACCCGTTTTCTACTGAGAACTCTCGTGCAAGCGCATTGAGAAAATGTGTATTAAGTACTTACCGACAACACCGCTGAATTCGCATCGCTGAACTTCTTCGTCGTCGTCTTTCCGTCTTCACTTGGCGCGCGAAGCCCACCCACCTTCAGCCCCGGGTTATCGATTATCGCCTCTGTAGCATCCAAAGAATACGACTCGCAGCACACCGACGCACGGTGACGTCTTCATCGCAGCAAAATGTGCCGCCAGCAACGCTCAAAGAGAGCACTTGCTGCTCGGTGGTCACCATATGGGGCCCCTCGCGACGCCGCCAAAGCTTCCACGGCAAATGTCAGCACCAGCGAGTGTCGGACAGTATTCCCCGATTACGTTCCTGACGAACCTTGAATGGCGAACACATAAAAATGTAGCGATAGTCCGCTTTGGTCCGCCCCGTCCGCGAGCTTGAACGTCGCCATCTTCATTGACTTTGGCAACTTTTGCTGCCCGACTACTACAAAGTTATCTCCATCGCCAAACTCAATCGTGACGACATGTTGACGTCACCGCGAACTTCATTATTTCAACAGCATAGCTCGAACTTCATCGGAATCCGTAGGGAAAAACTCAATCGCAACGTCACATCACGTGACCAAAAGGGCAGCCAATCAGCGACCGATGGAGTTAACTTCATCGTTGAGTTTGCGATCTAGCATAGACAGACAGAACAGAAGCTACAGCTCCGCTGCGCTTCCTTCTTCACCAAAGTGGAAAGGCTGAAAGTTTTTTTTTATTTCCAATACGTTCGGGGTTGTCGTAGGATGGGACAGTTTGAAATATTATGAGCAGAAACAATGTTCGACACACAATTTGCGAGTCAATGTTTGACGCAAATAAGACGGTCAAACGATGCAACTATGGAAGTCGAGAATGAGAAATTTGTAAACAAGTTCGACAAAATAGATACATTTCACTATGAAAAACAACGTAAAATAATAGTTTAGGATGAAATGCGGGCATCTACGTAATCGAGAAACATTTCGATAGAAGAGGAAGGAACAACATTTTGAGGCAGGTGGTTCCATTCATTAATGGTTCGGGGGAAAAAAAAGGAGAATTTAAAGTGGTTACGAGCGAAGTCTTCCTCAGAGTTTGCCATGCTTGTACCCTGTGAATCGTTTGCTTATGTGAATTAGATCATTTTCTTATGGTAAGTTCAAATGATTGTTGGCTACTTTGTATGAAAATTTGCGTCTAGCCATTTTCCCTCTTTTTTTCTAGAAAGGAGACACCCAGTTCCCTGCAAAATTCAAAGGGAGAGACTACATTTATTGCAAATAAACCTCCCTGCCATTCTTTCAACTCTTTCAACCTTAATGATGCAAGAGGCTGTGTGGGGGAACCAGACGGTGTATACGAGCGCAGGACGTATTAAAAGTTTTCTAGGCTCGTAATTTGGTGGCAGGAGATCCAAATGTTAAAACTCGTTTAAGGAAACTCAGTTTGTTAAAGCTTTATTAGTTGTGGAGTCAATGTGTGAGTCCCGACGCAAATTTTTACTCACGTTGAGGTCGAGGTAATTGTACTCGCAGACTTGTTCCAAGAGGTAGTTAAAAAATAATTGTTGTCTTTTATTGGTTATGGTCATAAATACAGTATTATTCCAATTTCTTTTCATCTGCCAACCATGGCACCGATTTATGATGTGTTGAAGTGCATTATTTAGGTTCCTCTGGTTGTTTCAGTTCTTTATTTGCTAGTAAAGTATGCAATCATTAGCAAAGAGGCGAATTTTTATGTTCCCATCCTTGACCAAGTCATTTATGTATACAAGGAACAAAAAAAATATTTAGCCTTTCCACTCTGGTGAAGGAGGAAGTAGCAAAGTAGTGCTATGGTGGGACGACCTCAAGGACAATGCTAAAAGGACGACGTCTAGGACAACCTCGAGGACAATGCCTAGGACGACCTCAGGGACAACGTCTAGGATGACGTCTAGGACGACATCAGGAACTACGTCCAGGACGACCTCGTGGACAACATTTAGGATGACCTCAGGGACGTCTTCAAGGACGACTTCTAGGACGACCTCAAGGATAACCTCTTGGGCAACCTCAAGGATTATGTCTAGGACGACCTCAAGAACAACATCTAAGACGACCTCGAGGACGACTTCTAGGACGATGCCTAAAGAAATTCAGAACCAAAATGGAAAGGCTGGAAAGGTTGTTGTCATCTATAAGCAGCGGCGGCAACCAGAGAACTGGCAAGCCGGTTGTCCCGATGAAACTCTGCCTTTGGATGGTGAGTGTCATTAAATGATAAGTACTTGTAGCGATCTGAAAGGCAGTCTTCAATCCGTTTGAGAATTTTTCCTGCTCCTAGTATAGACGCTTTACACACGCGCCAAATTACAGCTGCCATTGCTGACCTTCTCTTGTCTTACCGAGATGCCGAGCAACTGAAACGGTAGTTGACGATCCTCTACAAAGGCCGATGCTTTAGAAAAGGACACAGTTGAATCTAATATGGCAATAATCTGGCCTGCTATTGCAATGATGAAGTGAAATAAACGAATTACGAGGAAACAAAAACTGAAGGTCAGTTATGGCGGTGCCCATGCACAGCTGCTTCAAAGCATCTATAGGTTCTAGCTTAAACAAAGCTTTCGGGTGAGATAGTACCTTGTCAAAGGCTTTGGACAGATCGATGAACATGGCGTCAACTTGTCCTCTACTGTTTATGACAGTGGAAAAATCATGTATGCTTTCCATAAGTTGCGTCACCATTGAGAGTTGACGTCTGTAACCGTGCTCATGTGGAGCAAGTATGTGGTTATTCCCCATGTGGGTGGAGGCGTGCTTGAAAACGATGCATTCGAGCAATTCACGGCAAGTTGAAGTAAGGGAGATGGCCCTGTAGTTCGCAAATTCGTTTTTGTTTTCAGATTTATGAATGGGGATGACTTTCGCTAACTTCCAGTCTTAAGCAAGCGTGAAAATATAATAATGAGATATTTTGTTACCCATGTGGTGTATCTTTTTAGAAATTCATTCGGTATATCGTCCCGCGCAGCACTTTTTTTTGTGTTCAGGTTGAGTAAAAGTGATAGAACACCCTGTTGAGTAACTACGACATTCACAGCCAGGACTGGGGAATGGGACGCGGGTGCATTACCATTATCTGTTGTAAAGAGCGAAAGAAAATATTCATTCAAGGATTGTGCAAGATTTGCTTTGTCGCCCAAGAGCGCTTCTAGATTGGATGTCTTTTTGGTTGACATAGTTCCAGAATTTGGTGGCTCGAGATTGGACGAACAATTGAAGAGTGATAGTGAAAAATGTGTATTGTGCCCACTTGATTTTTTGTCCAAGATCGCCATTGAGTGATGCCAATTTGTTCTCATTTAGAGCAGTTCTGGTTTCCCTTGCCTTTTTATGAAGCCTATTTATTTTGCGCTTCACGCAGATGATTTCTCGCGTTATCTGAGGGTTTTTCTTAATAATTCTTTTAGTTTGTAGGGGAATCAAATATGAGAGACGCGTCTTGAATGTCGCTTTGAATTCATTCCAAAGCATATATACGGTGGTAAAAGCACTCTTGGACAGAAGGAAAAAGTTATCCAAGTGCGTATAAAAAAAAGTCGAGTATGCCAACGTCCTCTGCTCTGTCAAAGTTCAAAAGCTTACGGATCTGGGGATGGCCAGAAGTTGGTATGTTCATTTTGAAGGAGCATAAATGCCATCTTACGATCAGATATGTCATTTGAAACTTCTATGCCGTATTCGTCTCTCAGGAAATGATTGGTGACAAAGACGAGATCGAGCAGTGATTGCGACGATCCTTAATACGGGTATTTTCACTAATTATTTGGGTGAGGTTGTAATGAAGACACAGATCAGTAAAGATATTTGCGCCGAGGGATGATTTCATACATTTCGATAGAGAGGACCATTCTAAAGAAGGTAGACTGAGGTCGCCCGCAATTATAATCTTCCTGCTCTTGTTAATATTATCACCGATGTAACTATGCCTACTTTTGAAGAACCCTGAAGTGGGAGGTCTGTAGACGTAGAGCAGCAAGCAATTTCACAACCCAGGCACTCAATTTCTGGTGAGGGGTTCCATACAATGCCTTTTTTTTTTTTTTTTTTTATAAGAATCACTAGTTTACTATTGAGAGAACCCCTATCATTGCACAGAATCGTATAGTTTGGGGGCGTGATTTCACAATCTAAAATACTGTCTAATAGCCATGTTTCTGTCATTGCTACAATATCAGGGTGGGTATTCAAAACAGCAGCTTCAAGTTTATCCGTTTTATTTACGATACTTCGCATATTCAGGTTTAGTAATTGAAATTGGTACGGACGGTTGACTCGAGTAGGGCTTGGTCCCGCACTGGGGTTCCAAGCTTCCTCAGATACGGGAAGAACCTTATCATTTATGGCCTCATTCCCAAAGAGTAGTGCACCACTTATCCTAGTTTTGTCTTAGGTAAGCGTGACCTTATCACCAGCAAGTTTTTATTTACAGTTATCGAGCAATTTTTTTTTTTAATGCTCATTGATCACGAATCGTTCACTTTGTAATTTATTGCAGTTGCGAAAAATGTTAAATTTATCTTTAAAGTTTACGAGTCGAAATATTACTGGATGGGTTTTGCCACGATCGATTCCATTAATCCTTACATTTACTTTTGCACGAAGTATCTCCTGTCACCCTATCCTCAAGGGTGCAACACACGCTGCAAGGAGGTCACCCGTCGCCTCGAGATTTTCGACGAGAAGTAAGAAGCCGCCACCTACCGAATCGATCGCTACAAAATGCCCGGCAAGCTCGGTGACGTCGCCCAAAGGCGCACTCAAACTGGGACCTCGCTCCGTCCAAACAAAAGGGACGACCGTCAAACCAAACACCGCATCGTGACCCCATGCCGGGCCTCAAACGGTGGCTTTGGCGGGGAGCACTCACCTGTCGACCTTGGCCGCCTTGTGCCAGCCCCCGTACTCCCCATATGGGGCGTTCTCCCTCTGCCGGTTCTTGTTCTCCTCCCGCTCCTCTGCCAGCTGCCAGATGGGCTTGTTCTCCGCCCCGATGCTGCCAAACTCGCGCTCATGCGCCCGCGTCAGCACCTGCGTCCGGTACAAGTTCGTCAAGCTGGTGCAAGGGCTCGTGCGAGCGCGTGGGAAAAGAGGATGGACCGAAAACAGGCTCGCCATTTTCTCCGGTTAATTGTGACATGCCAAAAAGGAAATGAGTAACTACAGTAGAATCTCCAGGGTAACAATCACGGTTCATCCGAATTTCGGGATCGTACAAATTTTTCTAAATCCCCGGACTAATGTATTACATTTTGGGATAGACCGATTGCTTTCTTGGGTTGCGGTGGATCGTACGAACCACGATCGACAACGTTTACGTGTCCTTTAGGGCGGCGTCACTCGGCTCCGACGAGCGTAGCCTGCGTTTTTGTGTCATCTTTCTCGCCGTTCTTTCTAAATATGCGTCGTGCAATCGCAGTAATGGCGGTTGCGCTACAGAATTGTAGAAGATAGCCACGTCCAGCGTCGCCGCACCATCTGCGTTGTCACGATTCGAATTCGACTCGCTGGAGTAACTCGCATTCACCTATTCCAGGGTTGGCGCTTTATATTTTATTCTCACGCGACAAGCGGGTTGTAGCGACTCTCAGTCGCACGAGTGAATGCGAAAAATGACATTCGGACTCGGTGTAGATCACTTGATCAGGCAGCCGCAAATTGGCTTTCCGGGAGCCAGCGATCGAGAAAATGTCTTCGCAGCTTCAAGGTTGAAAGTTCCTTTGCAGCAGAGTGCTGCGAGTTGAGTATCGAAATAGCAGCTGGAACAGCTGCTATTTGGATACTCAACTCAACGCTTCTTCCGCCAGGCGGAGTCGAGTTGTTTTTAAATTTTCGCGCCCGTGCACAAAACGTGAAGTTCAGTCAAACTTTTGTCGCACATCCTACTGTAAGTTCGAAACGAAAAAGGCAAACTTGGTTGAACACGAACCTGGGGAGGTTCGCGACATCCCTAGTTATACGTAACAACTTCCACCAGCTCGCGGAGTGAAATAGCACTTCACAGAGCGTTTCTCAGAGCTTTATTTTTTGCGTCCTGCGTGGCTCGTGGAGCCGGTGCCACTTCTCTCCTTATACACTTTCAGTCACACTCCGCCTTGTGACAATTTTAGGTTATTTCTTCTTCCACGTATAACGGGGTCCTTCACCCGCATGCCATTTGTGTCCCTCTATACAAGATAATAAAGAATGAAAACTATAAAAAAAACTATGCCCAAAATTAATAAAAATGCCAGAATGTCATATTGCATATATTTGGGAATGCTGGCCAAGTCTAGTGATCCTCCCTAATGTCTGCAAGCTCTCCGCTACATTTAAAGGGGCGATGCAACAATTTGCGGACTTTGGCTAATTAATTGCGGGAATTGATCCCGGCCACATATAAAACGAAGGACCGAAAACTATTCTTTCCTGCTTGCCCTAGTTTTCATTAAAAAAAATAAAAGAAATTGGTATCTCTGGCACCCCTCAACTCAACATTGAAGCGGCACCAGCTTCGCCTGTGACGTCATTCGGAGTGGCGTTGGTTTCCGTTTGGGTTCTTCTGGCTTCCGTTTCCCCAGCGCTCGCCGGCTCGCCAGGCTCGCCGCTCTCCCGCTCTCCCGCCGATTCCCGACCAACATGGCGGCATGGGCGGACGGCCTGAGCGACGTCGAGCGCAAGATGCTTGCGACGCGGCGGGCAGTCGAAGTTGAAGTCGAGGTCGAGACACCAGGAACAATAACGGTACAACGATACTACGGACTACGACCAACGCACTCCGTCGAGCGAGGGAAAGACAAAACGTCCAGGTTGCTCGTGTAGCCGCCGTAGGCGCCTCGGGCGTCGACGGATGACGGCGATGGCAGGTTTTGTTAACTTGCGGTAGATGGCGCCACAAATAATTCATACCCTTTTAGCGGCAATATTAGGCTTTTGAAGCGTTTCTGCATGCCTAAACAACAAAATTTTTTAAACCTAACCTTAAATCAAGCTTACAATTGCCTAACACTATCACTTACAAAAACCACTCCGAATGACGTCACACCACAGGTTCCATCTGCGGCCACCATGTGGCCGCAGGTTGGGAAAAAAAAGTGTTTCTTATTTTACGATTACGCATCGAAATAGAGGTATTTTGGGGCATGGTGGCACTTTTTCTCTTACTTATGCCGAAGTAAACAATATAAAAAATACAAGCTGCACATTCGTTCAGTGTTAAAATCATTGCGCTGCCCCTTTAAAGGAGTGTTGAAAATAAAGGAGTAGTTGAGGTAGGACCGCAATGTTTTGGTTGTCTCATCATACCTGTGCCTATTCTGATTGGGACCCTCCTAAAATAAACAAGTTTTGGTTGATCCCCCTTCGTTTAAAGTCGCTACACCCGATCTTTAGGTCAGCTCCAATCATTGGTGCAGTCCTCGGAATCGCACATACCAGTCTATGAAAAAAGACGCGCAGCAACTCCAAGTTTACACTCGGGGTCTGGTCCATTCAAACAACTTTTTTTTGTTCTCCAGAAACCCAAAAACTCTGGGGGCACAATATGGCGCGTTTTACGGTCCACCTTCGAGCTGCAAAACCGTACGACTGGTTAGGCCTCCAAGCAGCCAAGTGTCGCATGAAAACCGCGTAAAACCACGGAGGACTCCGTCGCATTTTCTTTCGACAAGAAAACTCCGAAGGCGGCCAGAAAGGTTTCGGAACTTCCAGAGCGCACGAGTGGGAGAGGGTGCTGACCTGCTTGTAGAGCACTTCGGCCTCCTTGTACTTGCCCTGCTTGAGGTAGGCCGAGGCCAGGTTGTTCTTGGTCTTGGCCACGTTGGGGTCGTCCGGCCCCAGGGTCCGCTCGTATATGTCCAGGGCCCGCTGGTAGTAGCGCTCCACCTGGGCCCCAAAAACCGCTTTGTACACGCCTCCCTTCCCAACCCCTCGCTCCTTTACATCTCCCTCTAGGGAACCGTCGGTAGTCTGTCGGCATAGGTTTCCCAAACCCCCCCAAGGAAAAAAGGGCGCATCGTACCACTAGGGTTCCCTATCTCGGGTGGAACCAGCTGAACAAAGGAAGGAGGGAGACAGGAGAAAGGAAGGCCAAGAAAAAAGGTTTTATTTGGCTTGCAAGGAGATCGAAGGGACGCATTTGTCATCTTTGCCCATAGCAAGGGCTTGTAACACCTCCCTTGTAACCTTGTCATTGAAGGTTACAAGGGAGGCCCCCTTCAATCCCATTGCAAGCCAAAGAAAACCTTTTTCAGCACGGCACCTTCCGTGGGTGGTTGGTTAAAACCAGAGGCAAAAAATAAGAGCAATGGGAAAGAAAAAGCTCAGGCAAAAGGGGTAATAGATATAAATTAATAGAAGAGGAAGATGCAATAAAATAGTTGCTATACTCCGCGACAACTTTTCTTGGCAATGCAGTGGAAGGTACAGGCCCGCGTCCCCTCTCCAATTTTGAGTGTACGCAGGCTCTCCTCCTCCCCCATTTCCGGGGAGAGGAGGAGAGCCCGCGCACACTCAAAATGGGAGAGGGGACGCGGGCCTGTACCTTCCACTGCATTGCCAAGAAAAGTTGTCGCGGAGTATAGTCCCAGCGGGTGGTTCGCTTTCCTTTTTTCCTGTCTCCCTGCTTCCTTTGTTCAGCTGGTTCCAGTTAAGATGTACCAACTAGCTCAGCTCATTCCACTAGTAGGGTTCTGCAATTATGAAAAACCCAAGGTCAGAAAAGGGGCGAAAGAAAAACCACAGAGTTTCAAGCTCGGCCGAAAAGTTATTTGATGAGAAACCCCTTAAATACAGTCGGAACAAAAAGACGGAAAGAGAGTGCCAAACAAACGGTACACTTCACACAAGCCCCCCTTGCACGTATCACAGTTGCAAGTACCAAACCAACCAAAGAGATAAAACGAATCCTCTCCCTTCTCTCCACCAACACGCGCAAAAAAAGTATAAAGAAAAAGGTTAAACCCGTGGATATTTTTTTACTACCAGTTTTAGAGCAACGGTCCTATTCACTGGACTTCCATGGTTCAGAATACTGACAAACTCTCTGACCAAACGTTTGCATTCATTTCTCTCAAAGAGAACAGCAGAGGATGAATGCCACAAAAGGAACACAATCGTTACATTCAGTCAATCGAACCGCGTAGCAACACCCCAACGTCCGAAACCGCTCCCTCCGTAGGAAGGAACACTCTTCCACCCACGTCCTTTCATTAACGCCCATAAAGAGAGGTCCACCATCCTTTATTCTTACGTTTTTGTCAGGTTGTTGCAAACGTGGCGCGTGCAAAGTGGGTGCTGTAGTGTAGTTGGTTTTCCATTCTTTTTCTGCTTTTTTCCATTGTCTGTCCATTTTTGAGTTCAGACTATATTGAAAGGAAAGCTGAAGAGCTTTTCCAGAAAAAATGATTTAATGATTAATTCTGTCGTGTTTGTGCCTGCAGAGTCCAAATATTGCGACCGTTTGACTCAAAATAACCACAAAACGCGAACAAAAGCTAAGAATACAGAAGCGATCGCCACAGCGGGACGCCACTGCCTGGCCACTCGTGGCATCACGACGTCATGAAAAGACCATCTCGATTCTCGCTTGCTCCATCGCTTGCAGAAGTAGTCGGGCGCGCCTAGACTTCTCTTGTAAATCGAGTTCGGCTTCCTATTTTCTAAATCTTTGTGTGGATCCAAAAGAGGAATGTGTCCGGAGGACCCTGAACGTGACAAAGTGTGCATTCCGGCTTTTGGCTGCCACGCCAACGTCCCCCAGCCTGACTTTTTGTGACATTGGCTGACGGGCTCTTCCTCTTCTCTCCCCTTTCCCTCTGCTTCGGAGGGGCGTGGCTTGGGCACTACTTTGAAGGCGCTTTTCCGGTGAATCCAAGCATAAAATGAGCAAACAGATACAACATTCCTGATGGCCGAGGTCTAATTAACTAGACTCATGTATTTCTTCTCATATGTAAAACTGCTTCAGCTTCCCTCTAAGAGGTTTCTCATCAAATAAATTTTCGGACACTTTCGAGACTTGGCAATCATCTTGCTCCCCTCTCTTTATCCTAGCCTCCAGGTTTTTCGCTATTACTTTCTACTTATGCGGGCTCGTTCGCACACCTTTTGTTATTCGCCAGGGTTAGACGTTTTTGGGAAAATACCGACATGCACCAGAAAGCAACCCCGGAGCCAGTTTTTAAAAAGAAAAACGGGGAAAATTGAAGAAGTGCCAACTGGAGCCTCGTGGCCTTCGTGGACCGGACGGGTGGAGCAAAGAGGAGAGTGAAAGGCCATCCTCACCTCCTCGTACTTGCCCTGGTTCTGACAGAGCAGGGCGAGGTTGTTGAGCTGCTTGGCCACGTCCGGGTGGTCCCGGCCCAGCACCCGCTCCCGGATGTCCAGGGCCCGCTTGCAGAGCGGCTCCGCGTCCCGGTACTTGCCCCGCTTGCCGTACAGCACCGCCAGGTTGTTGAGGGTCGCCGCCACCGCCGGGTGGCTCTCGCCCAGCGTCTTCTCCCGGATCTCCAGGGCGTCGTTCAGCAGGTTTGCCGCCTCCTTGTACTTGTTCTGGTCCCTGTTGTCCCAAGGGTCTCCCTCTCTCCCTCTGCTCTTTTTACACCCACGCTACGCAGTCTCGCGCTTTTCCCGCCCTTGGCGTAGCCGGGTGTCAAGCAAACACCCAATGGTAGCTCTACAAATGAATGCCCCATCGAGAGAGTGCAATATCCGATTGAATACCAAATAACGATCTCGATTGACACGAGCTCCACGTTTATAAATTCTCGTGCGACAAAAACAACTGTGGCGCATACTCCGGCAAAATCTTTTCCTCTCGCAAGGACGTTGCAAGCCACGGAAAACGGCTTCTCGCTCGGCACTCGCATTGTTGAAAAGTCAGGGTACTCCGTCGCCGACTATCGCAGCCAGGAGGAAGTTTCGCTTGCTCCCGTCGGGGACGTTGGACGGTCTCGGCTCGGACCGACTTGTCGCGCGTCCGAGGCAATCCCCGATCGGCAACGAGCGCTTTAATGGGCCCGTAATCGGCCCGTAGCGCCGCCAGACATCGCAATCCGGGTAATGAATCGCGGCGGTCGTACAAGTTCTGGGAAAAGAGAGCAGCTGACGCGTCTTGACTCCCGTCCGCCCGAGCTTCCGCTTTGAGCGGCCCGATGCACGCACCTGTACACGAGGGCGAGGATGTTGAGCATGGTGGCCACGTCCGGGTGGTCGTGGCCGCTGGTCTTTTCCAGGTCCTCGAGGGCCTGCTTGCACAGGGGCACGGCCACCTCGTAGCGTCCCTGGGAGGCGTACTGGATCACCAGGTTGTGCAGGGTGCGCAGCCGGGCGGGGATCTCGTAGCCGCCCCCGCCGCCCATCGAGGCCCCTCCCGGGGGCGTTGAAAGGGCATCCCCGGGGGCCTCCTCCTCCTCCGGGAAGCCCAGGTCCAGGGGAGCCTCTCCCGCGGGTGCCCCTTCCGCCCCGCGCCGCTCGCCTGCGCAAAAACACCCGCTGCAGACTTTGAGGAGACCAGGGCTCGCTCGCCGGGTGTCTGAACGATCCCGGAGCCAGATTCCAATTCAAAGACGACCGGGACGTCCTCTCAAAGTCACTCTAAATGCGTAGTATTTATATGTCTTCCGCAACTTCGCGACACCGTCACGCCGCTCAGTCGTGTGAGGTGAGGACGCTGCGTCTGTTCGAACTACCCGAAGAAGTGGTGAGCGACGGAGGCCTCCAGTTTCGAAGCAGGGAGTTCAAGAACTTCTTGAAAAAACGGGGAGTGATGCACACTGTGACACCACCCTACCACCCCACTTCGAATGGCGCCGCGGAAAAAGCTGCGCAAACAGTCGAGCGAGCGCTGCTCGAGCAAGTACTTGAAGACGACCTCCGAGGAAAGAGACGGAGTATCAAGAGAAGTTGTCCTGTTTCCTAGTTGCACACAAGTACAGGAAAGCCCCCTGCAGAGCCGTTCTTGGAACAGCTTCTCTGGACCTGACTGCTGAAGCTCAAGCCAGGTGCAAAGTCCCTTCCACGACGAGAAAAGCGGAACAAGAAAAAGGAGCTGGCGGACAAGCGTGGAGGTTCAAGGAAACTCATTCGAGTGGGCGACAGAGTTTGGGTTAGAAATGGGAGGAATGAGAGTAAATTCGACTAAAGAAGTTTTTGAAGAAAGCAATCGGTACAGTTACATACCTGGTGCGGGTGGCTAATCAGATTCGTTAAGTGCATGCTGATCACTTACGCTTTCAAAGTGAGGACTCATCCCGATAGCTTCTTCGGAGAGTGCATCGAGTGACAGTGAGTGTCTGGACGAACCTGGTGAATGTGATGTGCCTATGCCACTGCACGCTGACAGTAACATAGCTACTGAGGAAGTCCGACGTTTGAGCAGAGCTCGACATCCTCCAAATAGATTGTAGTAGTAGTGTTCGTCTTTATGCGAGTGAGGAGGAGTGTTGTGCATGTATAAAGCGACAGAGATACTTCCTATTCGCACCACCAGGGTGCAATGGTCTTCAACCTGTAAATAGTGACTCCAACATAGTAAATTCTTCCTCATGCGCCGTTCCTCAAAGTGGGACTGTCTCCTCTTCGGTGCTTCGGGCACGACACAACAAACACCAATTCAGTTTCCCCGCTAAGCGGGGAAAATGACATCACATGACTCGGTGTCACCTCACCTACGAACAAAATCGGTTTCTCTGGTAAATTTAGCGGGGAATTCAATTGGTGTTGAGGTCACGTGACGTCAATTTTCCCGACACATTTAGCGCGGTTACGCCGACGCCGCGACACCCCGGAAACGGGTGCCCAAGAGCTGTGCCCTTAAAACGTGCGGCAAATTGCTACTTCTATTTTCGCAAACTCGACACCTCGCAGAGATACCGACCAAGGGTCACGACCCAAAATTCGAGATCACCCCAGGCAGAAGAAGAGGAAAGAGACGAACCCTGGCCGGCTCTCTGGGACTCGTCGGCGGCAGAGGCCACGGAGGTGGTGGAGGCAGACAGGTCGTCGTACTTCTTGAGGGAGTTGACGAACTGGAGCTGCTTGTTCTCCTCCTCCAGCTGGGCCACGCTCTGCTCCGAGGCCTGCAGCTTCTGCTGCGTGTTGGCCAGCTCGTCCCGCAGCCAGGCGTTCTCCTGGCACAGACGCCGCACCTGGGCCCGCAGCTTCTGCTTCTCCGCCTCCACCGCCTGCGCCAGTCCCGTTGGCCGGGTAAGGCCAAACATCGGGCCAAGTGTGCCCTTCCACCAGAAGAGCCAGAACGTACGGCCTTAGTCACCCCAGATGCTTCCCCGACACCCGCAGGGGGCAGGCCGATATGCCTTGGCAGCATTATATAATGTATGCAAGAGAATCAACTGGCGCCCGTGTCTAAATGACTTCCGGGATGCAAAGCAGTCAACTTTTGCACTGCTCCTGCGCATTCCTCTAGAAAAAAGCATGTGCATCTCGTCTCTCGGCCGGAGAATAACGGGTCATACCGAATACTACTGTCCCGGATGGAAAAGTGATAGACGAAAGTAAAAATCGAACGACGTTTACGAAACTCTGTAATGCAAAATTAGACTGCAGCTTTCGCGGTATTTTTATTTTACGATATACCGTGCTAAAGAATTTGAGGAACAAAAATCTATAGATGTACAAATATAGACCTCGTCCTCCTGTGTACATAATGTAAATTATATATATACCGGGTGTTTTTGCAAAGACTTTCAAAAACCCTAAAAATTGGGGCATTTGAAAAAAAAAAAAAAGAAACTGTCTTTGGGAACAAACTACCAGCCACGGCGGACGTCAGGAATTGCCAAAAACATACTAATTAGCCAGCTAATTAATTAAAATTCGTTAATTAACTTTTTAATTAGTGCAAATAGACATAATTCCAGTTAGAAACTTGCTGAGCGTCATTTCAAACAACTCCCGACTCACTGATGCTAGTATCGGCAACAAAATTGAAGGCAGATGCCTTCGAATCGCAAGCGCTCTTCCTTGGCCACGTGTTCGGTTATAATAAACGGACTCTTGCCAAGGGAGGGGAGGGAAGGGTGGGGGGGGGGGGTAGGGGGGGGAAGAAAAGAGGTAGAGGGAAACTGAAACTAGCACATCTATCATAACCACCAGATGCCATAACTTGGCCAGAAACGCATCGGAAGCTTTGCGACGGGACCCACAAATCGATTGCACGCCATCGATTTTGATGGGCACGGAATGGGAAGAGTTAGACTATCGTTAGAAGAAGCGAAGCTCCGACGGAAAAGTCGTTCACGCATCAAACGGTTGCAACGTGCAAATGCCTCCTTGAACAACCGTCGCCTTTCGCTAAAACGTTGTTCGAAGAAAAGGTGCATTTGGAGAACTCCTTTGGCACAAAGGACGGTCAAGGAAAGCTAACACCCTCGAATAACATGAACGTTGGCACTTAGCAATATGGTCATTGAAAAAATGCCATGTTCGACCAATAGCAGCTAGAAGACGAGGCCCCCAAATGTCGGTAGTGGAGCCAGGCAGCACCGCCTAGCTCGCGTCTGCTTCACCGCCCAAGCATCTCGCAGCGATGCCAAAAGGGACGCGTCTGCCGCGGCACCTCTCGTCGAGCTTGGGCACTTTTAGCAACCGTTCGGGCCTGGTAGGAGGCTTACCTGGAGGTGCGATGCCAGGGCAACCATGACCTGGGCCTCGCCCAGGCCCAGCTCCAGGGCCTCGAGGGACTTGTGCACCATGTGGGCCTTCTCCTCCACCACCAGGCCCGCCTTGGTGCCCCCCTCCCGCTGGGCCTGCTGCTGCACCGCCTGCACCGAGCTCAGCAGGCCCGTGAGGATCGAGTTGTGCTCGTTGCGCAGCGCCTCCAGGCCCTGGATCACCGTCTTGGTGTTGCTCACTATGTCCTCCTGGGACATGGCCGTCATCCTCCCTATGCTCTCTATCTTCTTCCTGCACACAGGGAACCGGTCTCTGCATCCTCTGTGTGGCCACTGGGCACACTCATCACTAGTAGCCACTGGGTTAAAGGAAACTCCGTCAAACTGGCAACATCTGCTCATCAATGCTCTTAGGAACGCCGTAATCTAGGTAAAGAAGCACACTGCTGTTTGAGGAGAAGCTAACTTTAGGGAGCCCTCGAGAAATCTCGGACTTTGAAAAGCATCCACATCATGGCACTTTCTACCAAAAGTGTGCACATTGACCAAACTTCCTGGAGATTTTGTGTAGGATATCAACTTATCCCTATACAAAATTATACAGGAATGTGATTTGAACGGTTGTAGAATGCAGAGTTGAACTTCGTAACAAACTCTGCACTTACTTCGCAAGTGGGATGGATTTTTTTATCGAGAGTTAGAAAAATCTTTCGCTTCAATCTGGAAGCGCATTTTACCTTTTCTAAAGCACAATGTCACGGGGTATCTTAGGTATACTCCTTATATCTGGTACTCTGTATAAGCTGATTGTAGAGCAAACTAACCAGCAAGAACAATAAAGGCAATGACCAACCGAATTATACATGCACTCGGATATCGAGCAGAAAACATCATATAAGGTGTACAGAAAAAATGTTTTCTGCTTAGTGGGTTACTGCCACTATTTCTATCCACTCATTGGTGCTCCTTGGCATAATTATCACATAAACACTCAAGTTCTATAATCACATAATGGCTGGAATGTCTCGTACTAAATATTGGCTAAGCAATTATCAATCATAATTGCTTTCTCATTCATGCAGTCAATTTGGCATCAAAATATGTATCATTTAATATAACAGCTTTTACGTTTTGACAGCGGATTTCTGATGAAATTTCACATCGAAATTTTACTCACTTGCCAATAAGTATGAAAATTTCAATTTATTGTTTCAATTTATTTATTTCGGTCCCCACTATGGCACCAAAAATGTGCAAATTGAGTGAACTTTCTGGAGATTTGGCATGTCAGTTTATACAACAAGGCTGACACAAGCAGCAGCGGTGGCAAATAGCCAAGAACTTCACCCCATATTTCCGGGTCTGCAGGCACAAGAGACCAGATTGCAACGAAAGTGCCACACAACAAGGCTGACACAGTGCCTCAAGGATCTGTGTGTGACGTCATACTCAAGACCAACACCAATCGGAATCGGCCGCAAGAGTGGACAGGCAAGTCCAACTCTACTTAAAGAGACCATGAAATTACCTTTGTACATTTGCCAAACAACTTTTACATTAAACATTCAATGTTCACTGAATGCCAAACAGGCGTCCGTTTTCGTTTCGGTTTATTAACTTCTACACAAAATATTACTGAAATATCAAGTCAAATATTGAAATACATGAAAGTGCAACTAATACAAGGGTCCGGAAAATACGAAATACGACTTATTACCCTTTGTAATGGGAATAGATAGGGTACAAAACAAACATAAAGCATTCCTTTAAAAATAAGGTTCTGGTCAGAGTAGGTTCCATTTACAACGGGTACTCAAAAATGGCTGAAAAATGGAATCATGTAGCAAAACAATTCAGTTGGGATGAAGACTCTCTCCCTCCCACGTGTACACCCGGTAGATTACTTGCCTCCAAATATAATTTCTGTAAAGTGACTGCAAGAACAAGCACATCTGCTAAAGTATGTCAATGTCTATCCATAAAAATGTCAAGTTAGTTTCCATTCCAACAACACTGGAAACGCATGTCGCGACGGACATCACGGACTTGACATCTCGGGCACAGAGACGTTCTCCGCCGCCTCACCAGGGGAAGGGGAGTACTGCAGTCAACAGCTTGAAAGGAAGAAGAGGATGTTCGTGGGGACACGAGCCTCGAGGCCCTCACATCCACTCGAGATGCTTCCAAACAACGCCATTTAAGCTCTCGTAAATATTGTAAATTAAAAATGTGATGCAGAGGAAACGTTTTCTGCAACACCAGACAATATTTCAAACACCCAGATTACTCCTGGCATCAGCGACCATAAAGTCATTGCGGCAGACGTTAATATTTCAAGTACCAATGTCGGCGAGTAAAAAATGTGTAAGGTGCTTCTTTTATAACAGAGCAGATAACAATGGTATCTTTCTTCGAGGCATTGGTTGAAGGTATGGGTATCGGGAAACTTTGGTGTACGCAAAAGGGCAACTCCGATCAATATTTGTTTCGGATTACGACTGTTTTCAGCTAAAACGGCGTCTGAATTACAAGGTATAACCTTTTCCGGTATAGTGTGTAGTTTGATAAATATCACGGCTCAAAGTTTGGTTTGGGGCGTCTACGGCGAAACCGCGACTACCCGCTAGAGCAGGGTTTCTCAAATGGGGGTCGGCGAAGGACTGCCTCATCAGTCAGGCTCGGCAATAAAAGTAGTATTCTTTACAGATTGAGAAGAAATATTCCCATTTTCGGGTGAGTTCTCTCGTCTGTATGTCAATGAGAGTAGCCTACTTCACACTAGCCCTTAGTTATATTCATTTATTAAATAATTATCAAAATTAACCCGAACCTTTCCCTTCCCCTCAGCACGAATGGGGTCCCCCATTATCTCCGTCGATCCACAAGGGGTCCGCGGAACATCAATGGTTGAGAACCACTCTGCTAGAGGGATGGCAATACTGATGATCAGCCGTACGGCCGCAACATGACGTCGCGAGGGTGCTGCGCCAGTGCTCCCCGACTAGGAGCGAACCCGCCTGCCGCCCGCTAAAGAGCATCTGGTCGCATCTTTAAAACCGGTTGTAGTGCCTTCACTTTGACATACTATTCCGGCCGTGATCATACTTGGTGCCACGAAAGCGATACCAGCCATTTATTTTGGTATCCTTTTTGACCGGATTTGCCCTTTAAGAAGAAAATGTACATATTAGCCAAACGTTTCGTTCCTTCCTGTACGCTAACTGCCAAGCGCGCTCGCTACAGGCCTTGGACATCTCAGCACCTGAGCCTAGTTCAGAAGAAAACAACATAAGGCAGCGTAGCACCCAACTCGCAACTGATAGGACCGAGTGAAGCGAGCTTAATGTAATCCTCAAAACCAATATTCAAGTAGCCAGAAACCTCCATTTTGAAGCTTTTGAGAACAGGGGGAAGAACGACCCAAAGGGATTCTGGAAATATGTGCGCAGAGAGGAGCAAGTCTGTGCCAGTATTTAATTGATGCGACAGTATTGTTTAAAACGATACGGGTAAGACCAAACCATTGAATGCTTATTTATTTTCATTCAGTGCTTATTCCGTCTGCACAAGAGGATTTGTGTTTGGCTTTCCAACTGCGGCCGACCTATGGCCTTCGAAGTAGAAGAGATCGGGAAACTTTTAAATGAAGTGGATGCAAGCGAGGCCATTGGTCCCAACGACAGTTCTTCCTATATTCTAAACTCATGCTTGGGTATAGTTCATCTATACTTTTTCGCAGTGATTCAATAATTCCCAAATATAACCTCGTTTCTGTCAGATTGGAAGCTTGGTCGAGTTGCCCCCATACATAAAGGTTGTCCCAGAAACCTGGTCACAAAATACCGTCCAATTTCATTAAGTAGCATAGCACGTAGGGTAATTAAGGCCATCTTATACAGAGGCATAATCAACCATGTAAATGCTCCTGGAATACTGCATTCATCCCGACATGGCTTTCGTCAAGAGGTTATTCCTGCATAATGCAGCTGGCTCCATTTGTACACAAATTGGCTAAAGCGCTCGATTAACACAATATTGTGGACTGTATTTTCCTAGATTTTAGCGTACCATTTGATATTGTCTCTCCCATAAGTGCGTGGTGCTCAGTGGTCATGCGTCTGAATGTGCTGACATGACATGGAGAGTTCCGAAAGGCTCTGTCCTTGGGGCGCCAATGTACTTGAATGATACTGTCCTTGTTGTGACATGTAGTGTGTGTCTTCTTGCAGACGACTGCACTGTTTAAAAACATATACAAATGTGCGATGACGTCAGCATTATACTCGCGGATATTAATGCCATTCCTGATTGATGCAAATCGTGGGAAAGCAATATTTATCTTAAAAAGACCGTTTGTGTCCCATCTACAAAACAATGTGTTTTATCCAACAGCATTTACACCAGTAACAGTGAGTGATGTAACAGCATGCATGAGGACAAATACCTCCGTGTATTCCCGAACCAACATGTTGATTTTACTGTTTCTAAAGCCTCAAGAATGCTTGGCTGACTCTCTCTCGTAATTTTAAGTTGTTACTGTCTTCCCCGAAAACAAAACTTTATTTCTCGCACGTCCGCTCAATGTTGGAGCATGCTTACACTGTATGAGATCCCGATACTTGTTCCGGCCGCCATGCTTGAAAAGGTGCAAAACCGGGCTGCCGATTTCATCTTTAATAATTTTACGAGTGACTCAGTACTACAAGAGCTAAAGAGAGCCCAGGAGGGAGGGAGCTAAGCTTTAGAAGGAAAGGCATTCAAATTAATTTGTTTCGTATCACCGTCAAAATGGTACTCAAAGACCGAGCTACCTTCACCCACCCGATTATATATCTCAACGAAGGGATCACTTTGATAAGCTAAGAGTTTGCAGACCAATGTTTTGGGGAACTTATTTCTTCCTAAAACCATGCAGGATTGGAACGAACGGCCAGTCTGCGTACCTAGCATTATGGCGAACAATGTTTTCTTTAGCACCAACATCAGTGTTACGAGTTTCTTGGTATATTTGTCTTTGGACAGCCTGCTAACTGTTATATATTAGGTGCTGCATAAGACAGAAAGTTGTACGCTATTGTAATTGTTATATTTGTAGGAATAAAATCAAATAAAATCGCCACTCAAAGCGCAAGGTGAAAGCAGAGCACACAGCGGCGCCCAATCGGTTACTATGGAAACGCCGCGCTCTCGAAACACAAACCAAAGCCGCGTACTAAAAAAACACCGCCGGGGTGGAAGGAAACACTCACAGTCTGTAAGCTTTCAGGGCCTGCGACATGTCCGCCGAGTCAT